GCACGTGAGTTCTGAATCTCAGCTGTTTTGAAAGCGCTTGAAAAACAAAAAACTGAAATTTCCAGGGAAACTAAAAACACCGATCAGCACCGAGGCAATGGCAAGCACAACATAAACTTTCAGTTTACATCAGCAAATTGCGCAACGCCATATTCGCCAACTACCATCCAACTTTTACTGGTACCATATTTCTTCCGTAACTCATCGATCACTGTGGAACTCAGTCCTGCTTGCGTCTCTGCCTTCAGTGTACGGAGAACCAGAAGCGGTGCTGGTGCAAAACCTCGTAAAGCAACCTAACAAAAAAAAAAACCGGTGAATTCCAGCACAAATTTAATAAGCGAGATAATGACCAGTGGTCTACAGTACCACTGCTACACTAAAGACCGTGCACACAGAGCAGCTGTTTTGAAAACCTCTATTGCCATTACTAGAAATTTTCACAATCCGTCAATTCGTGATGGAATTTTGTCCCCACATTCTACGAACACAAAATGTTATCGCTCGCATAAGCGAAAATTATTAGCACTATAGTGTAAGCGGATGGCCACTGTTCACAAAAAATTTATCACACACAGAGTCAATGGTTTTGTTCTATGAAAGGATGGGACACAAGAATTTTAAAACAAATAGCAAAGCGCACCAAACTAGCCAGTGCGATCACGCGTTTTGTGCACTTCGTTCACCGAACGATTGCCTGTTAACGATTTCCATTGCTTTGTACTTTAGTCTGTGCAAAAACAGTTGAAACTTTGAAGAACTGTTAAAAATTTCACGCGCCGATACATGAAATCTCGCACACCAGCAATACCGCAAAAACTGCGCTTTCTCGGCTTTTATGTTTCTTGAGACAATAAATTCCCCGCCAAAATTTTCACGGGCCATAGCTGATATCCGACAGCGCGAGAACTCTGCATTTGAATCTGCAAGTCGTAAGTGGGCAAGGGTTCATTGCCCTAAAATTTCAGCCCTCTAGATTCCGTGCTCCCCGAGGTAATAATTTACCCGCCAAAATTTTCATGGGACCGTAAGCGGTACCCGAGAGCGCGGGAGCACTGAATTTGAATTTTCAAGGTCGCACGTGGACACGGGGTAATTACCCCAAAATCTCAGCTTCGTAGACTTCGTGGTTCCCAAGATAATAATTCTCCCCGCCAAAACTTGTGTGGGGCCATACGTGGTACACACGGGTAACTGATGACCGAATTTAAGTTTACAGGGTAAAACGTGGGCGGGGAATATTTTAGCAAAACTTCAGTGTTCCAGCTTTCGTGATTCCCAAGATAATTATTTCAATCACCAATACTTTGGCTGAGTCATACGTGGCACCCGCGAATAAATGAAGGCCGAATTTAAGTTTGCGGGGTCACACGTGGAGGGGGAAGACTCTTGCAAAATTCCAATGTCCTAGCTTTCGTGGTCCCCGAGTTGAAAGTGCAGGACAAAAGGCGCGCACACACACACACACACACACACACATACACACACATACACACACAGAGACAACCCCATGACAATACGCGTTTTGTACTGCTGTTACACAGCACAAAACGCATAATGAGTTTCCGAAAACCGAGGAAAAATTACTGTTCAGGAAGGAAAGCCACTTCATTCCTTCCGAACCAGTGGGGTTTGAACGAAAACTCATTCCCACCATAATTGACACAAGTTACAAAATCAGAAAGTAAATAACTTGCTTTAAAAGGAGTATCCAGCGGCCAATCGAGATCGCTAACCAATTTCCTGTAGTGCAGATCTCCTTTAAGGATAATCAACGACGATAAAGACAAGTCATTGAAGAGATCTGGAGCCTTATCGAGCATCAAATAATACGGGTATGGAAGTGTCCAAAACTGATGAGCGTGGAAAATAAAATCACCCTGGAAAAAAAAAGAGTACTGCTAACATGCGAAATGGTATGTTCGCAGTGACCAGTTCATGCATCAGTGTAACGTTGAGGATCCTACAGCTGTCCATCAGTTGATTCATCTCAGCACATTTTTATTATGCGTTTTGTGCTGTGTAACAGCAGTACAAAACGCATATTGTCACCGGATTGTCTGTGTGTGTTTGTGTGCGTGTGTGTGTCCGCACCAACTTGTTCGCAACTTTCAATTCGGGAACCACAAAAGCTAGGAAGCTGAAAATTTAGGGGAACGTTCCCCACCCACGTGTGACCGCGCAAATTTAAATTCAGCTTCCCCGTACCCGCGGGTAACACGCATGGCCCCGTAAAAGTTCTTTACGGGTAAACTAATATCTCGGGAACCACGGAGTCTAGGAGAGTGGAATTTTAGGGGAATGACCCCCTGTCTACGCTCAACCCTGCCCATTCAAATTCAGCCTTCCCGTACCCGCGGGTAACGCGTACAGCCCCGTGAAACTTTTTTACGGGTAAATTGATATCTCGGGAACCACGGAGTCTAGGAGGCTGAAATTCCAGGGTAATGACCTCCTGTCCACGCTCAACATTGCCTATCCAAATTCAGCGTCCCCGCGCTCTTGAGTATCACCTACGGCCTCGTAAAAATTTTGGCGGGTAAACTATTAACTCGGGAATCACGGAAAGATATTCACCCTTCAAGGTTTCGAAATTCGGCTTTCATACGCTGCTGCGTTAAATTTTTAACTGTTTATCAATGTTTGAACTATTTTTGCATAGACTAAAGTACAAAGCAGTGAAAATAATAGACAATCACTCGATGGGTTGAATTGCATAAAACGCATGATCGCACCGGCTAATCTGGTGCGCACTGCTATTTTTTTATTACACATTCAACGCCAATAATTCAGACATTAACTTCCACGCCTAACATTTCAAAGAAAGACCTGT